ACACATGAGCAAAAATTCAATAATCACTGCTGTTGTTGAAACACAATCCATGGTACAACAATGCCGAGTGCTTTCCCTCAGTATCAAGGCCAGGGCCTAGACTCTGTCTTTCAATTAACCACGTTCATCAGATTTATAAATGGAAATGTTTAAAAGAAAAGCTGCTTATCTAAACAGCTTACAGCACTCATATAGTAGTCTCAAATTTAGCATGTGTGTATCCTAAAACATGCATGTTTACACTGTATAGTTAATCAGTCTGTGGCAGTGTTTGTTGACAGGCTGGTGTTCATACAGCTGTACCCCGGTTTATCTCCAGATGTGCCAGTTTGGGATTTTTCCCTGATGTCTCCTGATGTTCGCTGTTATTGTGGTTTTCTGGTGCTTTCTCACACCCCTTCTCTTTCTTCTCATCGCCGCTCCTGTTAGAAAGAAAGAGTGGAGGTAAATGTGATGCTCCCATGTCACTGTGGTTCTGTGTTTTAGAAGGCGTTTCTAAAAAACAACGGAGGCGTTTCCCATAAATGTAGATACAAAAAAAGCAAAACCTTTCTCTGTCTTTACTGACATATCAGAGTTTCTTTCAATCCTTCCCTCTTTTTGCCATCTTAAACCTTCATTTGCTCTTTTTCAGTGACAGTATCAAGTCATCCATGTGCATATTTCCATGTTACATTGTCATTCTTACTTCTTCTTGAAGAGTTTCTTGAACGAGCTCCTGAAGCCTCCTTTGTCCTGCTTCCGGCTCCTCTCACTGAGAGGGTTGTGGTTATTCTCCTCAGCCCCACTCCTCCACTTTGACTCTTCCCCCCATGATTTTATCCCGCCATCCTGTTGGGGTTGAATACAATAGTACATTTTCTTCAGTTAGGGTGTAATTACACCTCAGAGATGGTCTTGTAGCCTTTACCTTGACTATGCATGGCTTTAAATATCACAACACTTCATGTGGGAAGAGCAGAGAACTGTTTCACTGAAATCTAAGGGTACCAACACTTTTAGCCATGTCTGTATAATTTGCTCCCATCTTTGCTGAAACTCACAATGCTGAGCGACCCATGAAGACCGTCATTCTGTTTGTCAGTATCTGCTCTGTTTCCCAGGGGGCTGTGGACTTTATGTGATAGGTGGGGACACCCTTTGCTTCCCTTACTGCCCTGGCGCTGCAGCTTGGCATGGCTGCCCAGTCCCACCCTTCGGAGGTGATCTGATAGAGGCCCACTCTCCAGACAACTCACTGTGTTCTCCATCTGCAGGCCATTTAGTGACTAGATGGCAGAGAATACGTGTTTATTGATTTTTACACATGTATACATTATTTAAGGATTTGTTTTGCTTTATACGAAACCAAAAACAAGCTTACCTTGCTCTTACACTGGCTGGCCTGAAGGGGGTGATGCTGATTGAAGCGCATCATTAAAGCTTCATCTGGAGACACACATCCTCGGTTGGACAGTTTGCTGTAACCATTTCCTTGATTTCCATCATTGGCCAAAACTTCACAGGCTGTTGACACATTTGCCGCCATTACATGATGTGATGCTGAGTGGGCTTTGGGGCACTTCACAAAGGCAATGTCAATGGAGGAATCTGAGGATGCAGAGGAGCAGCGCTCAAACATGGAGACATCATGAAGAGAGCCTTTGTCCTCTTCATAGTGGCTCTCCATTCCTTCGGGGTCTGGAGGAAGAAGGAACTCTCCGAGAGCATCGGCCAGAGCAGAGCCAGGTTGACCCTGAATCAAGTCGGTAGGTCTGGAGGGCAAGCAATGATGATATGACATCAAGCTCTCAGATGCCTCACTCTCTGGGATACTGCCAAGACCTGAAAGCCAAAGGATGGTTAATTAATGGGGCAATAGTTCCAAAACCCTTTAAGTGGTATGGGTTCCATGTCTGCTTCTGCATGAGAAACACAAAGTCACAGCATGAAGGTTACAACACCTAAAGATATGATGTGACAAATACATGATGCCAAGATGCTTCTGAGTCTTGTCTCAACCAAGGCAGTCCTCTCACTGGGGCAACCAGTGACAAGGGCATTACTTTATCAGTGTGGACAAGTGTTAAACCATTGTGATGGAAAGTTGTCATCTGAACACGTCTAAAGACAAATGCTTGTAGTTTTCCAAATGGTGATGACAGTGCACATGTTCAGACAGTGACACTCAGTCGAACACAGTGAAAAAGCTGAAAGGAGATGTCATGATTCTGCCCCATCCACTTCCTGCCACACGCTCTTATTCTGTAACTACTTCCTGTACCCAGCTCACCCAGACTCCTGGGAACTTCATATCATCAACCACATTTGTATCACCTGCCGCTCAATCATTCACACCTGCTCACCACAGCATATAGCAGCTCCTCACTCTGTGGGGAGCTGCCAGATTGCTCTATGCATTGTCTAGACTCTTCAGCCCTAGACTTTGCCTTCCCTGCTGGAGTTCCCGACTGTGGACCGAACTAAGTACTACTCTCTGCCTGATCCCTCTAGACTGTTTCTGTTCCAATCGGACTCTGTTCCTGAGAAAGACATTAAAATCTGTTCTGCTGTCCCAGCTTACTGGCTCTTTAATTGGGTTCTCACCTCCACCTTCACGGGAGCTCCACACACACCTCCCTGACAGCAGTTTGAAGAATGAAACAAGCTTGCAGTGTAATGCTGGCTGCTGGTTGGATTATAAGTCTTATCAAGTTAGAAAAACTGCTCTCAGATGCTGGTTGACAATCTAACAAGTACTCTGAGGTATAATGACATTTCTAAGATCAACCTAATAAAACTTCCTGTTGATGCCCAAAGTATAACCTGGAACCACAGAAAGATCACACCTAACAATAATCAGAAGCTTTTGCCGATGCAGACCTGTTGGTTTGTAGCTCCGTGAGTCCAGGTCATGGCTGAAGAATGGTAACTGGGAGGTCCACTCTCTGTCATAACCGTGAGTTTCAGATTCCTGGTCTCGATCCTGGAAACAGTGGGACTGGATCTGCTCCAGGAGACGCTGCTTGCTGTCCCTTGCCTGGTTAGCATGTTCCCTGTCATGAATAAATGATCCCTTACCCTTGTTTCCAGCAGCAGTAAACATTGTTTAGCAACAAATAGCTCTGAAAAACCTGCTGTGCGCTACCTGCCACGCATCAGATAGCAGACAAAGTTAGCAAATAGCTGGGTCTGAAATATAAAGATAGATTTTTCCAACACACATTGGTGGAGACCAAAACAGAGCTAAAACCATAATGAGTATTAGACTGAAATCAGTCTGGCGGTCATAGATATTCAGCTGAATGTGACTGTTGCTCTGTTTCTGCTGTAGCTGTAAACTGGGACGTTTGCCAACATGTCAGCCAACAATTTCATAAGGCAATAATCTTTCAGGCTCATGTGTCTGTCAGATTTGTCTGCACCCAAGCGGCCATAAATTAATTCAGGGATTTGATTCTTCACTGAATAGTTTGTATGAAAGAATAAAGGTTTTATGTGAAGGCTGGCAAAGTGATGGTGCAGAAGGTTGTTAAACACAACATGGCACCACTGCAAGTGTATGGTCTTAAACACACATGTAATGTTATTCTTTGTTGAGTGATCATTCTGACCTCTTCAGCTCCTTGTGGTTATGCAGCAGAAGCTCCTGGTTGTGCTGAAGCAGGTGGTGATACTGAGCTGTGAAGGACCTGAACTGCTGGATGCACACTAGCAGCAGGTAATAATCTGGGTGACTGACATCAGTCTGCCTCAGCAGCCTCTGTGCACACACACACACACTCACATGTAATTTCATGCATCTCTGAACTGAAACAGTCTTCGGAATCATCGGGGCAACATATTAAACATATTGTATTCGTGTCATGATTGCGTCTATCTTTATGTGCCATCTTAACATTTATAAGTAATTTAAAAACAAATGTGAAAATTAAGTTATTAAAATGCATTACATTATTACTACATGTATACAATGTGCTATATGAAATGTTAAAGTTCAGCCCTTTAAATTGAGATTATTATCTACAGTTTGTTAAGTGTGGCTGTGCGTTAATCTAACCTGGAGCAGCAGCAGGTACTCGGGGATCCTCTGAACCGGCTGGAGAAGCAGCATGTGGAGGGAGGGTTTGGATTCGTCCCCCGTTATGTCACTCTGATAGAAGCAGCGCAGGTCGACCAATCAGAATGGAACGACAGTCAGTTAATACAGCAGGTATATGCGGTGTTACTGTATTTACACATTTTGAATTAGCCTACTGTCATATCCCATCCTGCTTGCCCTGTCGTGTTACATTCTCTAATATTATACAGTATCATGTCCTGTTGTGCGCTGTACTGCATTGCCTCATTCTGTCCTGTTTTGTTTTACCTCCTGGAGGGCAGAAGATTTCACAGAGCTGCAGGCCAGCATGGTGATGACTGACAAACAGTCTGGAAGCTCCTTCAGGTATGACACATAAAAGTCTAAGAATTCACTCTGTGGGTAGAAAGAGAGAAATACTGTCTGTGGTTGCATGTCGTGGGTGTGTTCATGTCCCATCCACTTACATTTTCCACTTGTTAAAAAAACTTTTACAAGTGCAATCACAGCATGCACTGGCTCTAATATAACAGACTCATTAGTCTGCTTTTGGCTTTTGGCTGGGCTTTCACCACCACTAGCATCTTCCTAATATTACAGAGCTTTTTATACATTCAGTAAAATTCACATATGTCCATGGAATATTTAGCTTGTTACTCTAGTAACATCATGGAGGAATCACTGTTGTCTTTGTACTACATCTGGATTCCAGCTCTCAACATGGCTCTGCTGGAATTTGACATTTCATTAAATGTCCGCCATGGTTGCCAAAGTGATTCAAATCCATTATAAATTCCCAGTCACGAGGCCAAATGTTTTGACCCCCTTCTGATTAAGTAGCCTGGAACAGCACTTGCATTGTGAACGTGAGATAGTTGATTTACAAGCAAGTAAGCTGGAGGTCCAGGTCTTACAGCATGGTTAACAGTAGAGATGCATCATACACTTCTGAAGCTTTTTATATTCATTTCTTGCTGAAACTGTGTCTGAAAGGTGCCGAGCGTGTTCACTATTATTTGTCCATAGTTGGTAAAATATGACCAAAGCCAGTGAGAAACTGCCAGCTAAAAATTTGTTTGTTGTTGCATCTGTTTTTGTGCTAATTCCATTAAAGTGCAGACTATGTGGTTCTCCTTACTGCATGTCAGCGAGCCTGTATTCATGCAAATGAAACTAGTACAAGTACTCCACCTTCCTGAGCTACTGTCTGGTACTGTAACAGCTACTGTACATTTTGACCTTATAAATTGTTCAAACAGAAGGTGAAAGACACAGTAATCAACTTCTGTGTTTGTGCGTCACCCCTTTGCTGGTGAGCCTCATAAACACGTCCCCCATGATGCCTTGCCACTGGTATTTGAGCACACGTTCCTGGAGAATGTGAAGGAGGTTGAGATGCTGCTGGATCAGAAACCTCAGAGAGCTTGGGAATGGACTAAAGAAAACAAGAAAGACAGGAGGGTGGGAATCAGTTGCAGAAAATAATTACTTAGTTGAATAACCAGTGATGATATAAAGTGATAAAATAAGACTGAAACATGTTCTTCTCCCTGAGTTTATGGCTCATAACATCAGGGAACACCCCCCAGATTGTCAGATTGAACTTGTCTTTGTGTGTCCACAGTCTCACCGTTTGTCTTTGGAGGTGGGCGCCTCTGATCCATTGAAGGATATGTTGGCCTTTAGTAGGAGAGACAGGTTGGATATGTAAACTCTCTCTGACTCCAGCAGCTCCAGTGCCGCTCTCTGTCTCTTACCTACAAACACATAAGAACATGTGTCAAGGTAAAAATAAAGCTGGAGCTGAGCGGTGGTGAGCTTGGTTTAGCATGAAGACTTAAAGATCTGGATTGGGAAAAAAAACTAACAATCTGTAGTCTTATGGGGAGATGCAGTATGTCCTGGTCTGTGTTAGTGACCTCTAGAGATGCAGTAAGTGGATTTCATGGCCTCTGGACAATGCCAGGCTGTCTGACTTTTCCTATCTCCAGTCTTTGTGCTAAGCTACATTAATTGGCTGCTGGCTGTAGCATTACATTTATGGACAGGCATTTAGGACCATAGTCAGCACTGTGCATTGGGTAAAAATAGTGTTAGGACATTACAGATAACAGACAGAAGCCCTGAGTCAATCACTTCATGTGTTGGACGTCTGACATCTAGTGGTAAAACAAATTAGCCACCTGCTGTTGGTGAGTCTTGTATTGTGTGTATGTGTGTGTGTGTGTGGTAGCAGTGTTACCAGCAGTAGTTGCATCAACACTGGTAGTAGTAGCAGAACTAGCAGCAGAGTTAGTGGCTCCAGTGGTGATAAAAGGTGTCATAACAGCTGGAGCGGGAGCCTGTAGAGAACTTTGTGTTTCTTACTGTTTTCAGGCCGGCTGCTAGTGTCTGTGTCATCTTTGCTGTTGTTTCTTTCTCTCTGCGCTGGTGATGTGGACAGGCGACCTCTCCGCTGCTGCTGAGCCTCCTGCTCAGAGGTAGAGGCTGCAACACACTCACACAAACGTGAGTAAGTGACTCTGACTCTTTGTAGTGTTTCATTTGTTTTCCTTCACACTACATTATTCCCTAACACAGCCCAACTTTTTGGATGAGAGTATGTGCTAATGTGTTTTGCCTGTGGAGAAATGCACAGTACTGTACATGAGATGTTACTGCTTAGAAACGCTAAATAGGCTAATTAAATGCAAAGTGTTTCAAATGCATCCACATGCACTGACTCACTTTGCGTTGATGTGGAGCTCCTCTGTGGTGACCCACTGCGTGGCAGATTGGCAAATAAGTGCTGGAAACCACTGATATCTGATTGGCTGGGCACACAGATGTGTTCGTCTCCTGATTCCATTAGCACATCTGCCTTGCAGCTCTTCCTACGTTTTGACCAAGAAAAAAAAATTATTTGTGAAGTTACACAACATAGTTGATATTTTTGTATCACTGCCAAAGAGCATTTGTCAGAGAGATCAAGAGCAGCCTTGGGCTAATTTCACAATCTGTACTTTGCTCCTCTAGCGTTTAGAGGACAAGGATAATCAAAACATGTACAGTAAGTCAGATGACTACAAAAGGAGGCGATTAAATATAATTCAGATGTGCTTTTGTGGATTAAACTAATGTGTGTGTTTGTGCGTGCATTTGTATCCTTATTTCTGTAATGGAAACATGCATGTTTCAGTCCTACCTGCATGAAACACAGATTATATCTTTGGTGTTTTCTGGCTGCAGCAGTTCTATCCTCCTCTGAACCTCTCTCTGTCTGCTGGACACATCCTTAACGTGCAACAGCGCTGTATTGAGCGCCTCCTGTAAGTAAGGAACTGCATTAGTGTAACTGCTTTAAACTGATAAAACTGTCAGTTTGTTGTTTTACTGCACAGGCCACCAGGTCAGATTTGGGGAATTTAGGGCACACATCAAGAAGAGGGTGAGTTTCTTCCAGAGCAACTAAATCTTTATCCAGTAGTTTCTGGTGATGGTCTAAATTATGTTAGAGCAGCCTCACCTTACCAAGAATACAATCTGGGGGTGTGTTTTTACTCTATAACATCTCCTGCACCTTGAAAGTGTTGAGCGAATTCTTGAGGCCCATTATTTTATCATCCACGTCAGTCTGATGAGCCTGGAGCTTCTCCTCCAGGCCGTGGTCCCTGTGACGCAGCTCGCGCAGCTCCATCAGGGCAGCGTGGAGCCCCTCGTGCAGCTCAGCCATCAGGCCCTGCAGCTGCACCACAACAAGTCGTTTTTACTGTTTGAAGGTGTTGACTTCTTTAAATGAAAAGAAAACAATTATTTGAATTCCAGAGGTTAAAGTTGTCTTTTTTGGTGTTGTCACTGACTCCAGTGTAGTGGGAAATACATTTGTAGTTGCTTTAGTTGGGTTCTTTTGCTTCAGTTTTAAGGCCATAAAATATAAATCTTACAATATGTCTAGGAATTTACTGATGTGGTGTTCTTCTTCTCAGTGTGTTAGTATCTAAAGCTAATGTGTTTGTTTTGGTAACATTAGTGGCATAGCATGTATAGTAGTGTGGTTTTAATTTGGGATTAATTCAAGCTTTGTGTAACCTTATTGCTTTGTGTCACACCAGTAGTAACCGGTGTTCTACTGCACTGACACATGTACCTGTTAGTCAGCCTTTTAGATGTTATTTCTCCTGTAATGTTTTTATGGGTCTTACATGCTATTTTTCTGTTTGCTGTGGTTTCTTTGCACTGCTCTTATTGGCCTTTTGATTTGAAACTATTCTATTGGAAACTATATGAAACTATTTTTGTCGTTTGTGTTTTTGTGCATTTGGTTTTTCTTAGTTGGTTTCAGTACATCTTTATTTAGGTCCACTCAGATTTATTTTAAGTCCAGTGGAGAGTATTTGCTTTCAGCAGTCTACCTTGTTTAATTTTGCTCTTCATCATCATTATCTTCACATTGTCATACCTTTTTTTATAATGAATGTGATATCCTCACATCTCTTAATAATATTCTATAAGCAGCATATTCTTTATCTGCCTGCCTTTTCCTCTTCTTTCTTGGTTTTCTCATTAATAGATGATTGGATTTATTTAGCAGGGATAACTGAATCAGTTCATGGGAATATAACATGGATTGAAGCAGCTGTCTCTCTCTGTATCTTTCCCTCTCTTCTTGAATCACTCTCTCAGTCATGTGAAAGGCATTAGGCAGCTGACTGAATAGAGTCTCTGTTCTGTTTGCCTTCTGCTCCTCTTCCTCTCTGATGCTATCAGTGGTTGACTACTGCCTGCTCACCTGGGAGCTGCAGATCTAATGAGTATAAATCCCTCATAAATATCATTCTTTTATTATATTAGTTGCAAGTTTAGTTTACATTGTGGTTGATTTGTTTGAACAAGTGACGAGCATAATTTCAGCTTGACTGACAGGAGAAAATATGCCCAGCCACAAGTCCAAGTCACCGTTCACAGATCGCTTTTCCAAGTCTACATACATCTGTGTTGGCTGATATAACAGTGACAGTGATTTGGTTTGTAAAATACTCGACAATCAGTTGCTTAAAAAGAGGAATCTTTAATTACCTGAACAATCTCTAGTTTAGCCTCCTCTGTATTTTCTTCTTTATCTAGGAAACAAAAAGCTCAGTTAGGCACCCACCCAGGCATCAGTTCACTTTCATGAAAATGTTGATCAAATCTGTTTTATGATTACATCATATATTCTATAAGCAGGAAT